GGGGCGGGGCTGGCCGGCATGTGGTGCTGGGGGATCGAACCGCGGTCCCTGTGCTTTGCCAAGCTTGTTCCAAGTAGGTGCTTTAGACCACTGAGGCTTTAGACCATCTCACCAGCCCTGCCGATGATATTTCTATCTAACTCAGCTGCCTACAACACTTCTGCCTTCTGTGAGGTCCTGTGACCCAGAGATTCCTTCCTGAGGATTGTGAGCCTTTGCATACTCAAGGTAGAGTGCTCTAAGGTTGTTTCCTGTGGATGTGGCAGTGTGATGTCCCTGAGTACCCGCAGCTCTGTTTCCGTTCAAGAGCCAGGAGCAATGCCCCAGCCAGCTTTAATCCCCCTTCTTTCTTATCCGTTTATCCTGTAAAATGTGAAGCCAAAAGTAGCTGAATCTTGATATATATTCCAATTTAATGGAAAAAGTGTTATGCTATCTGGTAAAAATATATTTTCTTACACCAGAGCCCAGAGTCACAGGCACAAGAACGACATTTTTGCCGCTAAGTCCCTTGGATATCATTGCGAGCAGCGTCACGTATATTTCCACTTTGGTTTCAGATGCAAGTGTTTTGCCTACAGGATATTCAATCAGTTTTCACCATAGTAGGCACTGCTCTGCCTCCCAACCAAGAAAGATTTGATGCGAGTAGCTAAAAACAAACAAAACAAAAAAATAAATATAGTAACCATGTAAAGATGTAAAGCACCTTACTGGAGTGAGGCCCGAGTGTTAAAGACTGGTCCCAGCCTATGGCACTATCTGGAGGTGGTGGTACCTTTAAGAGGCAGGTCCTAGTGGGAGGAAATGAGGTCACTGGGGTCATGCCCTGAGGGGATATTGGGATCCCAAGCCCTTCTGGTTTTCTTTTGGGTTCCTGGCCTTGAGGAGGTAACTATCCTTCCTCTGCCCCTTGCTCCATGATGTGCAAAGTAAAGAGTCAAGCTGCTAGGAACTGAAACCAGGTGAAACTGAGCCAAAGTAAAGGTTTTGTCATTTAAAATTGATTATCTTGGGTATTTTGTCAGAGGAACGGAAAGCTAACATAGACCTATGTATGGTAGTCAACTGGCAATCTAATACAAAGATACAGTGTAATTCTTCTGTGAGCCATTGTATCAGCACGCATACATTCCCTGTACCTGGGCTCCAGTTGTTCTAGTTGCCTACATCTGACTTGGCTGAAAACCACATGTACCCAGCTTTGGGGAGTCTGATGAGGTGTGTGAGGACGCAGTGAAGAGAGGTCTGGGCTGCAGTAGGAGCATCTCAGAGCAGGCCAGAAAGGGGCAGGAGTGAGACAGCCGTGGTGAGAAATGGCCAGGCCTAACAGGGCAGGCAGGTAGGGTCTAAGATCCTGGGTGCGGCTGCCAGAGTGAGGCAGCCCGAGGACTGCGGAGTCGGTGATCCTGGCTGGGCCAGGAAGTGTGGGAAAGCCTGTCAGCAGCATTTGGAACCCAACAAATTGCCCATCGCAATGCCGGCAGGCTGGCCATGAGGTAGCTGGTGTGCTCCACGAAGGAAACAACGCTGTCTCTTCCAGATTAGAACCAGGACCAGCAAAGGGCAGCCCAACACCAGGTGAGAACAATTGAGCAAAAGCTCCGTGATAGCAAAATGACGCAAATGCAAAAGCAGATCCCGGCAAGGACCTGAGATGCGGCACAGGCTGCAAGCTGTTGTCCAGTACCATCTTCCCCTTCTTGCTTTTGGTAATAGAAGCCCCCTACACACACACCCTGCCAGTTTTTTTTTGTTTTGTTTTGTTTTTTTTTTTTTGGAACTGGGGATTGAACTCAGACCCTTGCACTTGCCAGGGAAGCACTTATTCCACTGAGCCATCTCCCCGGCCCACCGCCAGTTTTAATAGGTCACACAGCTGCCTAGCTAGGGAGGCCGGTTTCAAACTCCCTTGCAGTTGAGGGTGACCTTGTGGCTAAATTCTGACCAACAGGATATAAGCATGAATGCTGTATGCAACACCCAGGAGACAAGGTATCAGGAGACTGCTGGCCCTCTGTGGCCGGCAAAATGACAGCCCCCCCCACCCCCCCGAAGATGCCCACGCTTAGCTCTAGAACCTGTGGGCGTGTTACGCTATGCAGCAAGGAGGCTTGAAGCCACCCATGGGAGGTGCTAGCAGCTGCCCTGGACACTCGAACAGCCTGGCTCATCCAGCTGGGCCAATGAAATCACAGGGTCTTTAAAAATGAAAACTGAGGCTAGAGGGCATGGGAGTCAGAAAAGGCAGCGTGAGGAGGACTTGGGCTGGCGCTGCTGCTGTCAAAGGAGCCCCAAGAAGCCTGAAAGCCCAGTGAGTTCCCCATGCCCAAGCTTCCGCAGTACCACGGAGCCAGGCCTTGACTCCGGCCTGCTGATACCCACGTTGGATTTCTACAGAGCCCTAAGTTATATTTGTAACATTCTAAACCCCTATTTTGTTACAACAGCCCTGGGATATCAATACCCCTCTGTGTGCTTTTTATTTATTTATTTATTTATTTATTCTGTATTTAAGACAGGATCTGCAGGGTCTACAGTGTCTCACTACATAGATAGGACTCATTGTGATTTTCCTGTTTTCAGCCTTCCAAGTGCTGGGATTACAGACCAGCACCACCACTCCCAGTCTCCATCACCATCTCAGCGCGCCCCATGGGCAGGCCGGCATGGCACACCAGGGATGGGACCCCACTGGGGATCGAACTGCTTTTGCTTCTTTCCTGCTCAACTGATCTGGAATGTGGTTCACCGTAACCACATACGAGGCCGACACCACTGATACTGGAAGCAACTTGGGTCCTTGGTTGCTGATGCCGGTGAGTGCCCCAGCAGGAAATGGGGGACTCAGCTGGGACACCTCCATGGGGAGGCTGTTTACACAGATGTGGGTGGAGTGCAGGGAAACCATACGGGACCCCAGCAGCCCTGGCCTGTGGGTATCGGGAACCGGAGTGGAGATGTTACACTGTGGGGAGAGGAATAGCTGCTTACGGGGAGCTGTGGTCTTTGTCACCAGACCTGGCCAGCTATGACACCCAGCAGGGCCCCTTGGGACCAAAGTCATCACTCTGCTCCTCTGTCCCATCTCTTGCTGGTCAATTTTCCCACACAGCCTTCCGGGCATAGAGCAGGGGACAGGTGGAGGCGGAGCCGCACAGGGCCTAGGGTTACACTGTATGACCTGGCTCCTTGGATGACCGGCAGGCTTGCAGATGTACCTGAGAGAAAAGCAAACCTCTCTTTTAAGTCACAGTGCACCAACAGCCCCAATAGCAGCCTTGAGACACCAGGCTCAAGAGGATTTGAAACACCAAATCCTCTCCAGCTGATACAGGGAGAAAAACTGGTCTTGGATGGGTGACCTCCAAACAATACAGGGAACCTCCAAATGACATAGAGAAAAATGGATCTCTGGACCTGACCTGCATGAGTTTGTGTTCTCTAAAACCGAAGAATGAATTTTAGGAACAAACGGAGGTTATGAGCAGAATATACTTATTGAGAGAAAGAAAGCTACTGTCCAAAAGAGGGACAGGAGGAGGGCTGAGCGGGTAGTCCCCCCGGGAAGCTGTCTCTTCCAGGGACTTTTATAGTGTAAAACCATGTGAGGCTAAGGTAGAAAGAATGGGAACTCGCTTAGGTGGGCAGGAGGTGGGACAAAACTATGGCCAACCAATGGGATTACAAGCACCATTGCTCAGGTAAAACTGATTAAATCCAGGACCAAATGGGAAAGTGAGTCACGTAGCAAGCAGGCATGAATACAGGACAGGGTCTCTTCCTGTTGGGGGTTGGGCTAATGACTCATTTGGGCTCTTTCAAGTTGATTGATACTATTTAGGATATCAATCCCTAATGCCCATCCCTAGGGAAGTATGTAGCTGTGCTTCCTCTTTTTGTCTTGGTCTTGAGGTGTGGCCCATGTGGGAATGTCTGTCTCTTCCAAGTTGCAAAGTCACCTTGTCTTCCATCTTGTCTCCTTGAGGGCCTGGCCCTGTCTGACTGCCTATAATATTTCTGTCTAACTCGGCTGTCTGCAACACAGCCATGACAACAGTCCTCTCTTTCCTGCAGTGTGGGGAGAGGGACCATGCCAGGTGTTAAGGGCAAATCCTGGTTTGTCCCCTGTGTGACCTCAGATAATTCTCTTTCTGAATTCCACGTCTTCACTTCTTCAGCTATAAAGTGCTTCCTCCTCCTAGTCCTCTGCTTCCAGGGTTACTGAGTTAATTCACATGAAAGGCTCTGAGAAGAATGAGGGACTCCAGAAGCCCCTCGTGTCATTATTATGACATCGCACAAATTACATGTGTGCTCCCCTCGGTGCCCCTCCCTGCCTTGCAAGCACGCCCTCTGCCTGTCCCCCAAATCCAGCCTCATCCTACAGAAGCTTCTGGAGGCTTCTCCAGCCTAACTCAAAGCCCTTTCTTTGAAGTTCTGAGTTGTCAGCTAGCTGAGGAACCTTAGCTTTCTGACCCAAGAGTGAGTCCCTGAGGACGCAGAGCCTGTCCTCATAGGACTGCAAACCAGGTGGACGGAGCACACCAAATAAGCACCCTCGCTTCTATAAAATGGCCCCAGAGCGATGAAGCCAGGCAGTCCTCAGACTGACACTGACCTAAAATTGTCTCAACTGGAGCAGGAACCGAGTTCACCACAGGTGCGGCCACCCTGAAAGCATAATAGAGACTGAGTCCAGTCTGTTTGTCAACATCAAGCAGGAGGATGTTAGATGTATCCTGTCCTGTCCTCCCCTCCATAACTACCAATGCCCTATAGCCTCATTAAAAATCCCATCCCTGGGCTGGGGAGATGGCTCAGTGGAATAAGTGCTTCCCTGGCAAGCACAAGGGCCTGAGTTCAATCCCTGGTTCTACTAAAAAAAAAAAAAAAAAAAATCCCATCCCCTTGGGGCTTCGGATATAGCTCAGAGGCACAGCACCAGCCTGGCAGGCATAAGGTCCTGAGTGCAGTGTCTGGTACAAAAAAAAAAAAAAAGTAACTAAAAATCCTGTCCCCCCTTCTGGAAGCTCCTTCTTCTCAGTACCACCCAGAGCCCCAGCAGCTGCTCATCCCTTGTCCCCTTTCCTCCTCCAATCCAGCCTCTTCTCTGGGCACTGGGTCATTCTCCTCTGCCATGTATTTTGTTTTGCTGACACTAGGGCTCACCATGTTGTTCAGGCTGGCCTTGTCCTATATAGCCCAGGCTGGCCTAGAACTCATGGCTGCCGCCTGCCTGAGTCCTCCTGTATGTGCTCGAGTTGACTGGAGTGTTGCTATTTTCCAGGTCGCTTGGCCATGAATTAGGCTGCATTGCACCCCATTGAAGATGGGGTGGCTACATTTGCCAAGCAGAGCTTACTGAGCCAAAGGTGGGTGGGGGCTTTCCTCTCCCTCCTGATGGACTTCGTCCAGAAAACTGATTACATTATAAATTAAAGAACACCAGATGCAAGGGCCAGGGATTCGATCCCCGGGCCTGCCGTGCTGGTCCTGCCCCTGGGGCGCGCTGAGACGGCAATAGAGACTGGCATGGTGACGTGTGCCTGTAATCCCAGCACTTGGGAGGCTGAAACAGGAGGATCACTATGAGTCCAGTCTACACAGTGAGACCTTGTAGACCCTGTAGACCTTGTCCTAAATACAAAAAAAAAAAGAAAAAAAGAATGAAAATTAAAGAACACACTTGAAAACATTTATATATGTAAAGGTGTGGGGGCAGGAGAAATAGCTCAGTAGAATAAGTGCTTGCCTACAAGCATAGGGTCCTGAGTTCAATCCCTGGCACTGCCAAAAAAAATAAAATAAATAAATAAATGTAAAGGTGTATGGGGTGTTTCTTTTTTTAAAAAAATAATTTTTTAATTATTTATTTATTTTTATTTATTACATTTATTTATTGTGTGTGTGTGTGTGTGTGGCCAGCTCAGCCCACCAGGGGGAGGGGCTGGCTGGCATGTGGTGCTGGGGATCGAACCGTGGTCCCTGTGCTTCGCCAAGCTTGATTCAGGTAGGTGCTTTAGACCACTGAGCCATCTCTCCAGCCCCGGGTGTTTCTTTTTTTTTTTTCTGTGGTACCGCGGATTGAACTCAGGACCCTGTGTTTGCCAGGTAAGCACTTATTCTACTGAGCTATCTCCCCAGCCCCATATAAGGTTTAATGTAAAATTTATACCAACAGAGATGACATGCAGGCTTCACAGTCATCCTGTGCCATTTATTTTTTTTAAATGTATTTATTTGTGTGTGTGTGCGTGTGTATGTGTGTGTAGCCAGCTCAGCCCACCAGGGGGTGGGGCTGGCTGGCATGTGGTGCTGGGGATTGAACCGCGGTCCCTGTGCTTTGCTAAGCCCATTCCAAGTAGGTGCTTTAGACCACTGAGCCATCTCACCAGCCCACATCCTGTGCCATTTAGCAGATCCATTCATTGAAGCCCACCTGCGTCCACACACCACACACCTGCCCCCTTTCTCCCTTGCCTCCCTGCAAGGTAAGCTTGAATGGAAAGAGCACCCAATTTGCATTCATTTTATTTTTTTTTAATTATTTATTTATTCATTTTGTGTGTGTGTGTGTGTGGCCAGCTCAGCCCACCTGGGGGCGGGGCTGGCTGGCATGTGGTGCTGGGGGATTGAACCGCGGTCCCTGTGCTTTGCCAAGCTTGTTCCAAGTAGGTGCTTTAGACCACTGAGCCATCTCTCCAGCCCCTACATTCATTTTAAATAGGGACCAGAATTCTTTCCCTATCGTACCACGGTGGTCACTATGGTGGCCACAGCATGTTGGTCCAGGAGTTTTCCATGGTGTGCTGAAGTTACGTTGTGCGCACACACATGCTGAGATGGAGATTGAGATAGGCGTGGTGGTGCATGCCTGTAATCCCAGCACTAGAGAGGCTGAAGACAGGAGGATCACTACAAGTCCAATCTACATAGTGAGACCCTGTAGACCCTGTATTAAATACATAAAAACAAACGAACAAGAAAACCTGATAGGTTTTCCAGGAGAAACAGACAGAAGGAAAAAGGGAAAGGGACTTTATTATCTTTGAGGACAAGAAAAGAATGTGGGGAAGATAAGGGATTCCCTGAGTTGGAGCAAAGGGAGGCTGAAGCTTTTATGGCCTGTTGCCAGGGGTGGGGTTTAAGGAGGATGTTTAGATATAGGTGAGGAGCTGCTTGGGCTCTTCCCGGGGGCAGCGGGAAAGGTGAAAGCAAACCTACCCTGGGCTGAGCTGGAAAAGAAGGGGGGTGGGGTCTCAGGGAAGATAAGTTGTTGTTTTAAGTGCTTCAGCCATGTTAGATGACCACCGTAATAATTCAGCAATTCATACTAGGGCCAGAACCTATCAAACAGTTTCAATATTCTTTTATGATTTTGTTTGTATTGCAGTATTTTTTAGTGATGAGGAATTGTACATCATGTTTACAAATGCAGCTCTAACTTACATGAACAAGATGTACTGCAGTTTCTTTCGACCCACGTGCAAGCAACCTACACAGTGATGAGAATCATGCATTTTTTATCCTATGTGAAAAAAATTTTTGATAAGGCTTTGAAATTGTATAGATTGATGAGAATTTCGCTCTGGAGATGCTATCATTTAACTCCTGGATGCTGAAAAAGAGAAGATCAGCTGTCCATGCCTACGGGTTAATGAAACCAAAGCCTGTTGATATCTGTTCACTTGAAAATTAAAATATAGGATGACCTGGCAGCGTAACATAAAGAAGAAAATTGAGGCCTGAATAATGTTAAGAAATGAATTTTACTTGGCAAAATGAGCACATTGCAAGTACTTATGAAGTAGTCAGTAAAAGAGAAAAGCCTGGTGTGATTAAGGTACATTTATCACCAAATGAAGCTTTCACAGAAAACAGAACAGGAAGAACACCGCTAGCTTTTCTGTTTCCCTGGGATTTTTCCAAATCCCAACATTTCTCACCAAGAGGGGATGTGTATGCAAGCCTTATCTTTCTTTCTCCTTCATTAACAGTGATCTTCAGATTAACCCTTTGGTGCTAGGAGCCGACGTTTTCTAAAGTAACCTATGAAGTCCAGGGGGCAGGAGCCCTGCCTGCGGTGAGCTGGAGGCACAAGCTTGCTGGACTGATCATGGAGATGTACTCCAATTAGTCTCTGACAGCTTCCATACAGAAGACTGCATCGCGACATAGTGGAATGGTTGCTTCATGGGAGAGCATGTGCCCTTCCAGAAGGGGACTCGTGTCCATGTGCAGGTATCGTGGAAGTGTAGATTTAGGGCTCAGAGACCACTGCGGTTGGTGCTTGGGCCTCTGGGGCTGAGAGGGGATTAAAGGTATTTTATTAAGACAGCTAAGACATATTCAGATATAGATTTTATCCTAATTTTTCATATTTTTTTAGTGTATTTGTTACAGGGTCTACACAGTTGCACTCCGTAGATCGGACTCATAGTGATCCTTCTGTGTTCAGCCTCCCAAGTGCTGGGATTATAGGCGTGAGCCACCATGCCCAGTCATAATCTCAGTCTCAGCCGGCCCCAGGGGCGAGGCCAGCACAGCATGCCTGGGATCAAACCCAGGCTGCTGCACTTTGCCTAAGCAGGCGTTTTAGTCTGCTGAGCTATCTGGCCAACCCTACCAATTTTTCGTATTTCTACCTGAGCGACTTTCATCCTTACTATTAAGTACAAAGTTACAGTAAATGGTAGTTTATTCCTACTTCTCTAGATTAACTTTTTTTCATTTGGAATGATGTTGAGTATTTGTGACAAGAAAGACTAGAAGCTGTGTCCTCTATGTTGTCTTGCATCCATTTTCTAAGAAACAGATGAGAGGAACAGGAGAAAGCTGAGGCCACCTGATGTTTAGGGCATTTGTTCCTTCAGAGGGGAAGTGTGACACTGTGCAGGAGGCACAGAGCTTTTGGCCTTTTTGGTGCTCATGCCCTCCCCCCACCTGCCCCCACCACCCCACCAAAATCTTAAGGTGACTTCCATGGCCTTGACCAAGAATACTTCAGAAAGATTAATGGTGGGTGCTGAGAGTGCCTGGGCTGGCTGCTCCTCATGGCCATGCACAGGGCTGTCACCCTCTCTGAGGCCATCGGTGTCACAGAAAGTATGTTCTTGGCTTCAATTTTGAGACTCCCAGATCCCAGTCATGTGGCATGAAGGCATGAGAGAGTACAGAGGACATGCAGAGGGCAGCTATGAAGCTTCCATGTGTTGCCTATAGCTGCAGTTTTGGGTTCTTTTTTTTTTTTTTTAACATTTATTTATTTATTTATTTATTTATTGTGTGTGTGTGGCCACTTCAGCCCACCAGGGGGCGGGGCTGGCTGGCATGTGGTGCTGGGGAATCGAACCGCGGTCCCTGTGCTTTGCCAAGCTTGTTCCAAGTAGGTGCTTTAGACCACTGAGCCATCTCGCCAGCCCCCAGTTTTGGGTTCTGACAGAACAGCCAGAAACCTAGAATCATCCTATCCAAATCCAGTTCCAACTTTGCAGACTCCAGCTTGTATGTCATGGTCTGACCTCCTGTCCCAAGGCAGCCATCTTGGAGGAAATTGGCCCCTTCTGCGTAGATTGCTGGCAAGGGTTGCTCACAGCTTTGCTTTCCACACTATTTACACAGCATTATTCCAGTACTTTACCATTTCCCTCACCTGATTTCTGGCTTCCCAATGCTGACTGTTCTTGCTGGGCCACTGGCTGCTTCTAGAGCACCAAAGTAAGGGCCTCCCTTCCTAACTGCAGGGTCTCCGTGCTAGGCCTCTGTGTACACCCTTGCTTCTACCATTTGTGCCGTCCACAGTAGACCTTCCTTATCTTGCTCCTGTAGTGCATCACAGGTGAGCAGGAAATGTAACGCATTTATTTAAACAAAAAGGCCTATAAATTGGAATTGAATTACTTCCCTGTAGCTTTATAGTTTGTGACATTTCTTGACCTTGCTAGTTCTTTCATTACATCCCTGAAAGATTTAATCATCTGGGTCAGGATTTTAAGCAGACAAAACTATGAACCCAAGAAACTGTATTACTGTTACTGTTGGTTATACTAAAACTTTTTTCCTTAAGTATGTAACCTGTAAGGGTGTGAAATAACAAGGAATTTTTTGTACACTGTACATCCTTAGTATTTCCACATGTATATGATAGGGATGCACATTATTTTCCTTCATATAGATATCTTCAATAAAGCACTATGACAGGGCCAGCCAATAGCTCAGCAGATTAAAGTGCCTGCAAGCAGGCGCAGGGGTCAGGGATTTGATCCGCCTGGCCTGCAGTGCCGCCCCCGGGCACACGGAGAGGGTGATTGAGACTGGGCGTGGTGGTGCCACCTGTAATCCCAGCTCTTGGGGGGCTATAAACAGGCGGATCACCACAAGTCCAATCTAGTAGTGAGACCCTGAACATCCTGTACACCCTTCCCTAAAATACAAAAAACAAAAAACAAAAAAAAAACTACTATGTCAATTTGTTAAAAAATTAAAAAATGAATTTTTGTTCTAAAATATCTCAAAGATAATCTTTTGGGACTAGTATAACTTTTGAAGATAGTTAAGCAAACATACAGTTGTAGTTATTTAACTATACTCAGTGGAGTTATTTTAAGATTTCTCAAAAGCTTCAGTGTTATGTATACTTTGTCTTGTTTTGAGAAAGGGTCTTGCCATGCAGTTCAGGTCAGCCTTGAACTTACTATGCAGCCCAGGGTGGCCTTGAACTCATGACTGTCATCCTGCATCAGCCTCAGAAGTGCTGGGATTAAAGGCGTGTACTACCAGGCCCAGCTTCTGTGGTTTTTAAAATAGTGCTACTCACAATAACAAAGTTGGCCAAATTTTAGATTGTAAGCTTTATGTTACGAAATGTATTTATTAAACAAAGTTTATTTGCATTTTTTTTTCTTTCTTTTTTTTTTTTCTTCTTTTTTTTTTTTTTTTTTTTGGCGGAACTGGGGATTGAACTCAGTCCCTTGGGCTTACCATGCAAGTGCTTGCTTATTCTACTGAGCCACCTCCCCAGCCCTTCATTTGCTTATGCAGGTAAACACAAAGACATTTAATTTCTAAACTAATTACTTGGTTGGAAATATTAATTCTATATAGTATACAACCAGTTTTCTAGGGCATATAATAATGTTCAATCCAAATATTTACTCTGTTGAAGGGAGTAACTCAAAACTTTCTCCTGAATCTGTTTCTCTAGCCAACTAAAGGAATCACGCTATTGTGGACTTTCTAGAGAGGCTTAGAAATAAAAGTTACATGGAGGATGTAAATTGAACAACAAAACCAGTGTTTAAAGAATTCCAGAGACTCGGACTATGGGAAGAGGCTCAACATTTGAGAAAAGCTGTATAAACATGCTGTATCTAAAGACAAACACTCGGGAATCTTTATGACATTCAGGTTGAGCTTTGTGTTGTTTTACTGCTTATGAGTCATCTAGCAAAAGCAATATATATGGAAAAGATCAAATATTCAGAAGCAAGACCACAATTGCTTTCACTTGGAAACAGGAAATCTAACATTTTATGGACAAGAAAGTCAATGTCTTTAGATAACGAGAGAGATGATTCTTTCGTCAGTGCCTGGGACCAAGCCCGGGGCTTCATGCATGCTAAGCAAGCTCTCTATCGCTGAGCTACATTCCCAGCCCTAGATAGGATGTTTTAAATAATAAATTTGCTGTTATTTATCCTTTCAAATACTCTAGTTTTATTTAAGCCATAAGATCATCACAGCAAATGTGCACACATTTCTGAATTTTCTCCTGAAAATCTCTGGGGGAAAAATGATTTGTCTCAACTCTGAATGCATCTTACCATACTTTGAAACATAAGAGCAAAGAGAGAAAGCAGTTAATAAAGTAATCATGGCTATTATAACGTTGCATTCAAACACAGACCACAGAATTCCTACTGAACCCAAACAAACTCAGGTTTCTCTGAAGTACCAACATATTTTTAAGCAACATCAATCAGCAAGCTTGGTTTATTGTTCTTAGGTTAGCTGCTGGAAGTCAAACTCTGCTCTGAGAGATGTGAGCTTCGCCCATTATCTCCATTTAGGTTGCAGATTCTGTTGACGTGAACTTCACATCCAAGCATGAAAGGTCGTTTCTGAGAATACACTTCAGGGCGTTATCCATTTTGAAGTAAATACTACATTAGAACAAGGGCTATATATGTGGGCTATAGAAAAAAATTATAAAATAAGGTAAAAAGCTATTTTAAACTAGATAAATTCCTGGGTGGTTGTCTTTTTAATCCACAAGAATTATATGTAAGTGCGTGGTATGTATACTATATTATACATTTTTCATAATTGGAGTCTACCACGCAGTTGTATCATAGAAATAGGCCCCATCTTTTCAGGTGATTGCTTGCTATTATGTTACAGGGGTCTCAAGTAGTAATTTTTATTAATCCCCTGGTGATGGTCATTTTGAATTACTTCCAGTTTTCCTATAATATTATAAACATTTTTAGATGCAAATATTGGTACATTTTCTCACATTCAAAATTTCACATATTTTAAATTAATACATATTTCATATTACTCTTTACAGGTATAGTTTTACCTTCTCAATAATTATACCAGTATCCTTATCAACCTCCTTACAGCTGAGGCAACCAAGACTTGGGGACAACAGTTTACCACTGTTTTGTCACCACTGGGGCTCCCAACTTGACTGTGACCACAGAGCCACTTCTTGGTATCTTCCTGCAGACCTTGTCCCCCTCCTCACAGGGCAGATTAGTCACTGAACAAGTGTATGGTGAATTTCTCCTTTAAGTACTGATGTTTTTGGTGTCTAACAGCCAACTGCTCCTTTTCCCCGTTATTTCCCACTGCATGAAGAGAAAAGTGCTATATGCTTTTTATAGCACCAGTGTGTACTGCTATGATTCGCCCTGGCCAGAGACTCATCTATGAATGATTTCTCCCCAGATACAATGAGCTCAGCCCCAGATTTTTTTTTTTAATTTATTTTTTTGCAGAACCGGGGGTTGAACTCAGGTCCTTGCGCTTGCCAGGCAAGCGCTTATTCTACTGAACCATCTCCCTGGACCCAAGCCCCAGATTTTTATTCATGGTTCCTGAATGATCTCAAGTGTCTGAGGAGCACCTACCAGGTGGTCACTCTGAGCTCAGTGAAGGCTCACAAAGTCTCTCAAGACACTTGTCCTATAGCACATGACATGTCTATATTCGTACACTATCATTTATTTTACAGATACTCACTGTACACCTACAAGTGTGCTCTTGCTAGTGACTGGTTCAGCAGTGGGTGTGAAAGAGGAGGTGCTTGCTGGCATATATGTTCCA